TCTTCCTCCCCCTCCTCTTCCCCCTACTCTTCCTCCTTCTTCTCCTCCTCCTCCATAGTGAAAAATTACCAGGATTTCCGCAGCTGTCCAAAATGACATATTGTCTATTACTCACTCCCCCCCCCCCCCGCCTGTCAAAACAATGGGGTCGGATGCTGCTTCCCTTCCTCCATTCTATCTAATTATCTTTCTCCCTCATTCATCTGTCTTTTTATCTCTGTCTCACAGGTACACATAAATACAAAGTATACATAGTTTTAAATTACCTAGGATAACCCAAGAAACCCAGACAAAGTGCTATACTCTGCTTGAAGATGTGAAAAAAAAGTGATGACGCAGTCTTGTGGCTCTCTAAAGACAGAGAGCTAGACGGATAGACAGGGAGCTTGACAGACAGGCAAATAGACAGACAGAAATGTTAGTATACCAGCAAAAACAAAGGGGGGGAGATTGTTTATCTCATCTTTTGGCATCAGCTCTACCCTCGTTTACCCTCATCAAACGTCAGCACTTATCAGAGTTATCTCCCCTTATCTTGTTACTGTCATGGGTGAACATTTATTATTACCTATTATTAATTTTTATGTATTATTATATTTATGTAATATTATTATTATGTATTATTCTTATCATTACGTATTTTTCTTCTTCCTCCTCCCCCTCCTTCTTCTTTCCCCCCCTCTCTTCTTCCTCCTCCTCCTCTTCTTCCTCCTCCTCCTCCTCCCCCTTCTTCCTCCTCCTCCTCCTCTTCTTCTTCCTCCTCCTCCTCTTCTTCTCCTCCCTCCTCCTCCTCCTTCCTCCCCCTCCTCCCCTCCTCTTCTTCTTCCCTCCCCTCTTGCCTCCTCCTCCTCTTTCCTCCTCCCTCCTTTGCCTCCTCCTCCTCTGCCTCCTCCTCCCCTCCCGCCTCCTCCTCCTCCTCCATTTCTTGGAACAAGTTTTTAAGAGCTTGTAGTTCATAATCACTATCACTATCATCACCAATGCTCACATCTGAGTCCTGGGATTTTGGAAAATAGGAGTTTTCCCCTTTGATTCTGGTACAACTGAACGTGAACAAGAAGGCCCAGCACCAGAGGTGGAAGGCTGTGGGTTGTCTGGGTTTTCCTCACTATTTTCCCATATTATGGTCATTAGTTTCGGGCAAAACCTCACCAGAACCTTGAAAACCATCTTTAAATTGTCACTTCCATCTGTATTAGAACTGTCCCCTGGGGGAAAAAAAGTGTCCCAATTCGCCGAGGAGTGAGGAACTTCTTACCACAGGGCACGGTGGAAATTGTGTACTATGATGGCATTCCCACAATGCACCACTGGGTCCCAGATTTTTTTCCTACTGCGCACACCCACCACACAGACCCATTCTCTCACATCTAGGCTTATCAGCCTTTTCCTGTGAGATTTGAGGCCGCTAGAATTTATGCGTACTAGTGCGACAAAAACCCCTACGCGTAAGACGTACTAGTACGACCAAAACCCTCAAAGGGTTAATGAGAAAAATGTTGGAGAGTTAGCTCAGCCACCTTGGAACCTTATAAAGGTTTGGGATGTCAGTAATGGGGAAAAGTTGAAGCTCCATGAAGTAATTGTTAAGGAAGCTAAGCCAATTCAACAACTTTTGTGTGGGAAAAATCTGTATGAAAAATTGGATATGGAGGAAGAAGTGAAATTCTTCCAACACCAGTTTGCAGTGCTTAGTGAGAATCAGTGGGCATTCCCATGCTTCATGGTTCCCAAATTAGATGGCACCCTGGGCATAAACACTGACTACCACAAAGTACATTTAACAACTAAGGTTTACAGGATTAGAAAGATTGATACTTATGCACTAAAAGATGCAAACATTTTAAATAAAACTAAAACATGGGAGGAAGTGTGATTTCCAGGGCCGGTTTCCCCATACCTTTTCATGGTGAAAAGCAAATTGTGTTTTTTGTGTGTTTTAAAATTTATGTGTGAGATGGAACATGAAGGGGTTTGTGTAAACTTGATGTACCAACCTGGGTGCAAAGAGATGCCCCTTGGTTTTTGGGTTTTTGTACTGCGAGGGGTTGCAGAATTGTTATACAATGAGAAACCCTTTCAATTTTAAATGTCAACTTTTTTACCACGGGAAAAAATTTTTTCTTTTTGGGGGCGGGCTATTCACATTTGTATAGTCCGATCTTTTCACCGTTTTTGTTTGGTGACTAAAATGACTCAAAAAGGGGCTTTGTTCCACAGCCTTTAATTTGGGGAAGTTAAATAATAAAAGGCTCAGAAATGTGGTTGCTAATCTCTCTCTAGGTTTTTTATGCAGAGCATGGGGGACTTTGACATAGTGTTTGTCATGTCGACCCCGTTTTTTTTTGCAGTGGTGAACTCTCACGAGCCTAGACTCTCTACCACCATCGACTGTGAAGGGGTCGAGCGGGGCCAAAAGTGTGACGAGGGTCAGGGATATGTAAATGTGATTTAAGGCGTGATTGACAACCTTCGGTAAAAGAGACTTAGGGGGAAGGTATGTAAATTTTTGTTTGGTGTTCTCTTATAAGAAACCCCCAATTTTCCTTTTTGGGCCCTTGGACCCCCCCCATTTCTATGTCAGCCCCTCTTCATAATTTTGAGGATCTGGGGATGGGGGCCTTGGGAAAATGGGGTTGATCCTGACCATGTTTAAGGGTCTGATGTTTACTGGAAGCCACTGTTTGGTTCGGCCACCAAATGAGAGGGAACCCTTTACTGTTTTGTGAAGTTTCCCGCCTGGTGTACCATGACCTCGGGGGTTTTGGGTTTTTACTCTCGCTCCCGATCAGGAAGAAGCCACCCTGGAGTTCAGTTTTCTTGCTGGATTACCCACAAGGCACAGGCCGGGGCCAGCTTTTCCTGGGCATTGTGTGCAATTCTTGCATTGTGTATTATGTTTTAAAAGCCACTAAAATTGTAAATAGTTACACCCCTGAGTAGGTGGGTATGGTTAAAATGCTTTTCTGAAAAATTCTGCAATCTGTTGCAAATAACAGTAAAGTTATTACTGTAAATAACAGTAATGTGAAGAGTAGTTAGGGTGCTGGGAAATATGTAACATTTCTAGTAGTATTGCTGACCACCTTCAGACTGAAGCAATATATTTTTTTTTTATACTAGCCGTATCCTGAGGGACACGGCTAGCTTTTGTGAGACTTTGTCTGGAGGTGGGGGTGTTATGGGGCTATAGGACCCAACATGTATTTATAAGTAACAGTTACTCAGGAATACCTAATTATATTGAATTGATGGGGACTCAGCTCTAAATGTCATAAGGGCAGATCACTCTTATGACTGAGAGGTAGCTAGGTCAAGCCTATTTTTCTCAATATAATTGATTATACTATAAACACACAAACACACAATTTAAATAAGTAGTTTATAAAGTTGTATTTCTTTCTGTAAAAGTAAATAAGTTGTGGTAACCAGAGAATTGTGCTTAGCAACAGTCTTTTGTTTTGGTGGGTGTGGGAGGAGCTTAGCTAGGCTCCTCCCTCTCTCTCTCTCTGTTGGTGGACATCAAGCTGGCAGGACCTCTGGGTCCTTCTTCTATTTCTTTTGGGCATTATGCTTGCTCCAGGGGTGAGTTTTTATAACTTAAGTTGTGGCCACCATACCCAGGGTGACTAAAGTGTGTCAAAACACTGGTTAGCCCAGAGATTAGTCATGAAGAGAGAATGGCAAAGTTGCCGAGATGCACCATGTAGGAGAACAGCTAAGGAGTGTGTAGACTTATGTTTTGAATATGTGAATGCTGTAATTGTATATTCTGTATATATCTATTTAGAATACAGTTATATTTTTATAGTAGTGGTTTAAATAACCTGTGAAGAGGGCTGGTAAAAGGATCAGAGACACTGAGGATGATCAGCCATGATGTAAGTATTACCCTAGACATAAGGCCTTTATGTAAAAGCTACCCCACACTAGAACATGTAGTGAGAACCTTACTGTCAAAGTATAAGGGATAACACATAACATAACAGTATATGACAAATTCTAACCAAACAATAGAGCAAAAAAGTAATGTGAAGAACCTGGGAGTGATAATATCAGAGGATCTCGCCTTCAAAGACCACAACAATGTATTTACCGCATCTGCTAGGAAAATGATAGGATGGATAATGAGAACCCTGAAAGTTAGGGACGCCAAGCCCATGATGATTCTCTTCAAATCGCTTGTTCTCTCTAGGCTGGAATACTGCTGTACACTAACTGCCGCCTTCAAAGCAGGCAAAATTGCTGACCTAGAGAGTGTACAAAGAACTTTCACGGCACACACAAGTACGATAAGGCACCTAAATTACTGGGAATGGTTGAAGGCCCTTGATCTGTATTCCGTGGAGCGCAGGCGAGAGAGATACATGATAATATACACTTAGATAAATCCTAGAGAGATTAGTACCAAACTTGCACAGGAAAATCACTCCCTATGAAAGCAAAAGACTTGGCAGGAGATGCAACATTCCCCCAGTTTAAAGCAGGGGTGCCACGAGTACACTGAGAGACAACACAGTAAGTGTCCAGGGCCCAAAACTGTTCAACTGCCTCCCAGCATACATAAGGGGGATTACCAACAGAACCCTGGCAGTCTTCAAGAAGGCACTGGACAGGCATCTAAAGTCAGTACCTGACCAACTGGGTTCTGGTTTGTACATCAGTTTGTGTGCACCCAACAGTAGCAGCCTAGCTGATCAGACCCTGATCCACCACGAGGCCTGGTCTCAGACCGAGCCATGGGGGCATTGACCCCTGAAACCCTCTCCAGGTAAACTCCAGGGTCCATGATAGTATCAGTAGAACTGACCTTTATGCTGTAAGAGGACAACGGGTTTTATCATCTAAAGGATGACTGCTGCTTTTATTCTATGTAAATGTGTTAGAAATAAAGATTAATGATTCTAGCTTATGTGTCAGAATCTTCAGTTATTTACTATGCAGAATGGTAATGTGTTCAAATATTTATGATATGTACACTCATCAACAATATTACTCACCCCAGGCACCAATAACTCTCTTGGCCATAAAGTGGGTCTCAGCTGAAGCAAACACAGTGATGAGAAGCTGATACATATTAGCCGCTTCGACCAACATCCAGGCAAATGCAGCAATCACAAGATAGTGAAGCTGTGGATAAAATACAAAACTAATATCCTACCCATTATACTGCACTTACTGCTTAGCTTACCTAGCTGTGCAAAATATATACTTGGTATGTTTTTAATTTTATGTAATCCTGTAATGACCTTGTACAACATTATTAAATTAAAAAAAATAAATATTTTCTGTATATATATAAATTTCAGGTTGTTAAAATTCACATCAGGGAATGGGATTATACCTAAGTCATCATAAAATAATAACTCGTGCCTACTTCCATTTTGAACAGGAGTCACCCTCCTTAGTGTGAAGAAAGAAACCCTTCTCTTGCCTATTTAGAATGAAGGGAATAGTGCCCCAGAAAATAACAGAGAAATTCCTATGAAAACTGGACAAGCAAAAATACATACATGTATCCTACTGTTTATTCATATACATACAATTATGTTGAACCCGTGTATCCACTGATTCGGTATCCACGGTTTACGGTGGCCCAAAAATACCTCTTAATTTTGCATAATAATGGCCCCAAAGTACAAAAGTAGAAAAGCTGGCAGTTCTTCAAAGCCTGAGAGAAGCCATGAAGTACTTCCCATCAGTAAAAAATTGATAATTCTCCACTTATTGTGCATAATTTATCAATTAAACTTCATAATAGGTATGTATAGGACTTATAGATATAGGGTTTACTACTGTCCACAGTTTCGGTATCCATGGCAAGTCCTTGGAAAGTATCCCCTGTGATACGGGGGTCCTACTATATATAAATCTGTAGAAAAAATGAAGACAACCTCATTAAGAGAGTGTATAAATCTGGGGTAGATGGGTGGTGTAGGGGTTTAACCCTTTGACTGTTTTGGCCATATAGTATATACGTCTTACGAGCCAGTGTTTTGGACGTATATATACTCAATAATTCTAGTGACTTCAAATCAAGCAGGAGAAAGCTGGTAGGTCTGCATGTGAGAGAATGGGTCTATGTGGTCAGTGTGCACTGTATAAAAAAAATCCTGCAGCATGCAGTGCATAATGAGAAAAAAAAAATCTCTGACCGTGTTTTTGGATTAAAATGCCAACTTTGAGATGTACTGTATTATTTACTTGGGCAGATTTAAGCTAATAGTACTTAAAAACTACTTATTAATATGAGGTAGTACAATTTATGATACAAACATACATTGGCTAATAACTCAGTAACAATGGCTAATAACTCAGTAAGTAATTTCCAACTTACCATGGCTGCTAGTGCAGTGCAAGCAATAGAAGGTGGCTCTAACTGAGTAGCAATTATGAACACCAAATTGAGCAGCAGCAAAGCCAAAGACAAATTCATCACAATTTTGCCACTTCGGTCACGGTTGAGGGTCCTGCGTGAATGAGTCAATACTTTTAGCGTTTCCTGTATGCCAGCACTATTCTCTAGATTTCAATTATATACATTCTGATAGGAAAGTGTAGTAATGCTTCGGACAATGGGATGCTCTGAAAAGTTTATTTCCTCTGGCAGTTTCTAAGCTCAAAGATAAATATTATGATAAAAGCTTCACCTAACATTTCTGTAGGTAAGCTTTTACCAAGTACAGTGGACCCCCGGTATTCGATATTAATCAGTTCCTGAGAGCTCATCGAATACCGAAAATATCGAAAACCGAATCAATTTTCCCCATAAGAAATTATGGAAATCAAATTAATCTGTGCAAGACACCCAAAAGTATGAAAAAAAAAAAAAAAATTTACCACGAAATATTAAGTTTAATGCAATAGAATAATTACAATAACAACAATAACAATAGAATAATTGACACTTACCTTTAATGAAGATCTGGTGATGATTGATGGGATGGGAGGAGGGGAGAGTGTCGAAGTTGTTACTGTTTAAAGGGGAATCCCCTTCCATTAGGACTTGAGGTAGCAAGTCCTTTTCCAGGATTACTTCCCTTCTTCTTTTAATGCCACTAGGCATTAAAAGAGAGTCACTGGACCTCTGTCGCACAACAAATCTGTCCATAGAGCTCTGTACCTCCTGTTCCTTTACGATTTGTCTAAAATGGGCCACAACATTGTAATAGTCACCAGCACGGCTTGCAATAGCTGTGTTAGGGTGATTTTCATCCATAAAGGTTTGCAGTTCAACCCACCTTGCATAAGCTTCTCAATGTTAGCCCCAAACCCTTCAAAATCTTTCTTAATTTCCATACTAATTCTCACCCTTTTTACCACAGGGTTGGCACTAGAAGCTTTCTTGGGGCCCATGGTGACTTATTTTGCAGAAACAAGCTGTATAGCCCTTGTGGCTTAGCGCTTCTTTTTGATTATAATAATAATTTGCAGAAACAAGCACCAAAAACAGTGATAATATGGAATGTACTGAATGTATCCTTAGATGCGAGCACACTGGCTGGCTTGTAAACACTGGCATACACGGGGCAGTTCAGGCCACACGTGGACACGTCTCATACAAATCACATCGTATACCGGGTTTTCGATCGGATACCGAGGCGAAATTTTTGCGTTAAAATGCATCGAATACCGGATTTATCGAATACCAATGCCATCGAATACCAGGGGTCCACTGTATAATGCTTATCAGATATTTCTTGCAAAGAAAAAATACAGTTCAGTATTTTATTTGCATTATGTATCTTTATTTGCATATATGTAGCTTTTATAAAATTCAAAATAAACATTTATGCATGTCATATACATATTAAGATGCACATGTGCACAGCTACAAACAGCTACCTAAAGCCTCCCAGTTAAATTTAACATTTATTTAAGTCACAAATATCTGTTGCTAAAGCCCACTCTGCGGGTGAAACTTTGTCAATAAATAATTGCACTGTACTGCATTTGTATCTCTTTTTCTACTGTGTTGGCATTTTATATAATTTCTCATGCAGTACAAAAGTTTCCCATGTCCCTGTTATCACAAGGAAAAAACTACTTATATTTGTCATATTTCTATTATTTATTTATTTATTATTAGTAATAGTATATTCAGGGAGGAGCACTAAACCCATAGGGGTCATACTGCAAAAATAGACCAAATATAATTGCTTTATTAGTTAAGTACACATATAAATTCCATCTTTGTTGAAAATATACATATTAACCCTTTCAGGGTCATTGCCATAGTTCTATGGCTTTGAGATGAGGGTCCAAACCGTATATCTACGTCATGAGCTCAGCTCACTTTGATAAGCTGTGAGTGGTAAATTTGGGCCTAGGTATGAGAGAATACATCTATGTGGTATGTGTGCACCACATAAAACAAATCCTGCAGCACACAGTGGATAATGAGAAAAAACTGAGACTAATTTTCAATTAAAACAGCAACTTTGCAGTGTTTTTTCATATGTTTTTTATAGTTTTATATGCAATATCTTTTTCTCATTTGATAGAATGGATGATATATTACAGAAATAGCAATGATTTTTATTGGTTTTAGTACTGGAAATGGCTTGAAACTGAGCTCAAAGTAGCAGAAATGTTAAATTTTTTGCTGATGTTCAAGAGTAAACAAATGACCTCACACCTCTAATACACACCAGCTGGTGGGTTTAATATATGTTCACAAATGTGATATTATTTATACAATTATTACAATATTGCATAACAGTAAATCTATTTTTTGGTTTGAATAAAAATTCATTATGTGAATAAAAAATAAAAATGGAATTCGTTTGTAAAGCCTGAAAACATAACTAATCAACAGAGGAAATGTTAGTTTAGTGCCAGGAATGCCTGCATTGTTTATTCTGGACCCTATTTTGAAATTGGAATATTTTGAACTTTGCGTTAAATTGGCCAAATTACCAATTTCCGATCACTTTATTTTGTAGTTGAAACAGTTGACTTGGTGATTTCTTGTGCTCAATCGATAGAATAGAAGTATTACTAGTGAAATAACTAAGAATTTGGTTGACTGGAATAATGTAATTGGCCTAAAATGGGAGTCAAAGTCAGCAAAATCGCCGATGCATAATATCGCTGACACATCAAAATTCGCGAGAGCATGATTTCATCAATTTTCCAACAAATTTCGTACTTTTTGTTTTATTACCTTCAGAAAAAGATAAAAAAAATTTTGAAAATTCTTGGACCCTGGTGCACACTTTGAAATTTGGCCTCTGGACCCTGAAAGAGTTAAAGCATTTTGAGTACAAGTACAGTTATGGCAAATAGAAGAACTGTACCTGAATGTTGCATAGGTTGCAACAGTGGCAGTCAATCCTGCTGTGCTCAGTGCAAGCCCAACATAGGTTATTATGGAGAGAGCTTCTGCATGTACACCAAAGGATGATGGCAGAGGATCCAAGAGTACTGAAAATGCTGTCAGATGTGTAGCTTCACATGTTGTCATCCCTTCAACTCTCACTGTTTTCATGCCAACTTCTGACCAGTCATGTGCTGCAAAATGTTAATAAGTTTGTATGTAGTATGGTACATCACACCAAACTGTTTGAGAGTAAGTAATATGTAGAATCTACACTCTTTTGGCGTGTGACATCATCCCGAGTCAATTTTGAGTGAAAATAAGCAAGACTTGTAGCTTCCTAAAGATTCCTCAGCTAAAAGAATGAGGAGAGGTACTGGGGAAACATAAAGGTTGTCCCCAAGCCAACCCCTTACTAAGGTTAAAAATTCATCAAAAAATTTCAGAAAAATAGTGGGATCATGCACAAACTCCATACCTCCTCCCTTCTCCAAGAGCACAGGGTCACTAGAAATAATAAAAACGTAAAGTAATGGTATGTATTCACACAAACATAAAATTTTATGACTTTTAATGAAGAACATTTATTCTTGCTACACATACCTACTTCATCCCAAAAGACACACCGTGGAAGAAACGAGTCTTCAGCTTCAGTAGAGATGTAGTATACAACAGGTTCGGAGAGGTTGCTTATCACTGTGTTGGTGACTTTGGCTGTAATAACAGGCATTTCCAGTGCACGACTGCCCCGGAAAAACTTGTCATTGGAGTACGACACAAATTCTAATCTCACATGTTTTTTTCCTGCTATTTTCAGAGCTTGGGGAGGTAATCTCAAAAATGATTCCTGTAACAAAAAAAAAATATATATATATACAGTAATACAGTTTTGATAAACAAGCCTAAATTAAAATCAAATAAAATTTAATGCTCAGGTCAAATATATACAAAATATAATTTTTGGACATGCTGTCTGTCACCTGCCTATCAGTACTGAAGCTAGCAACTCTTATAGTTCATAATGATATACATACAGTATCTGGCAATACAATGATGAAGTGTCTTTCACTCATACATTTGTTAAAGATGGATCTGAAGAACTTGCATTTCGTCTTTTCCTAGAGTGACTGGCTTCATCAACACTCTTGTTTTTCACTTCACTTTTGGGACTGAATGTGATATCTGTAGCTGATGACTCCAACATTCTGGCTTCCAATACCAGATTATTTGATCTGAAGTAAGAAGTATCATAGTTGTTTATTTATATGGCACAAAGGAACTGGATGTGCTCTAATTCTTTGAACTGAGTCTGAATGCCTTCCACTTTGTCAGGTGCTACATGACCCCTACAGGTTTTGTGCTACCCCCATTAATGTAATAATAATGTTTATACAACACATTATTCGTGTTTCTCACACCAGAAGTTACCATGTACTGACACACTAAAATTTTTACACGATTCTGTCCCCTCAGGGAAGGTTCCTTGATGTTGGTGAGGGGCTCTTGATTTAGGGAATTGGATCTGTGCTCCAGTTCCCCGAATTAAGCCTGAATGCCTTCCACATCCCTCCCAGGCGCTGTATAATCCTACGGGTTTAGCGCTTCCCCTTGATTATAATAATAATAATACATGATTCTGTAGAGTCTGAAAAACTAACATTTATGTACATGTAAATTGATCTAATAAGTAAACACATGCCTTGAATTTTGGAAAAATGGATATACAGTAATTGAATTAATACAAAGTGCTGCAGAAGACAAGAGCAAGCTTTACATCTGAATTTATGCATTATTTATGCATGTAAAAATAATTAAAATATTTACAATAAAATTAATTATTTCTTTGGAAAGGTTACAAAGTGTGTTTATATTTCATAATTTGATTGGTACAGAGAAAGTCACTATCATGCCAGGGCATTCCGGGCAGACTTAAGAAAATACTTAAACACTACTTAAGTCTAGACAGGTAAAGAGTGGTATATTTCATATATTCAATATTTTACTCTATTATTAATATGAGGTAGTACAATTTACGATAAAAACATACATTTTTAGGCTTGTAATAATGGTTTAATAGATAAGGGATAATAAAATATTTGGGAGAGTTGCTTCAAATTTAGTTGGAGATTAGCATAGTGGGGTATGGTTATTGAGAGATAAGATGATTTTTAAGTATAGTCCTAAATTGATTTGTGGGCAGAGGACCTCTTGCTGGTTTGGGCAAATAGTTCCAGATCTTTGGGCCCTTTATGCGCATCACATCTTTGCATAGTGTGAGACAGATACCAGGGATATCAAAAAGTGTTTTGTGCTTCGTGTTCTGTTGTAGCTGTCTAGAAGTTTGAGCAGAGGGTTTATACTGGATTTTAATGTTCTGTATATATAGGAGGCACAATAATAAGTGTGTATATTTTGCATAATAAGTAAGTTCAAGCTCTTGAAGAGGGTTACGGTGTATTGTCTGGCATAGGAGTTTATGATCATCTGCACTGCAGCTTTTTGTTGGGTTATTAAAGGTTTAACCCTTTGACTGTTTTGGTCGTATATATATGTCTTACGCACCACTGTTTCTGACGTATTTATATGCGTAAATTCTAGCAGTGCAGGTATGATTAGTGGGGGGTTGAAGAGGGTTGGAATGGTTTTAAAAATGCAGTATTAGAATGTGGGGCAGAAGTTTATAGGAGGGTGGGTGCAGGAGGAAAGAGGAGTGATTGGTGGAATGATGAAGTAAAGGGTGTGATAAAAGAGAAAAAAGGTAGCTTATGAGAGGTATTTACGAAACAGAAGTGTTATAAGAAGAGTAGAGTATATGGAGAGTAAAAGAAAGGTGAAGAAAGTGGTGAGAGAGTGCAAAAGGAGAGTGGATGATAGAGTGGGAGAGGTACTGTCAAGAAATTTTAATGAAAATAAGAAAAAATTTTGGAGTGAGTTAAACAAAATAAGAAAGCCTAGGGAACAAATGGATTTGTCAGTTAAAAACTGAGTAGGGGAGTTAGTAGATGGGGAGATGGAAGTTTTGGGTATTTGGCGAGAATATTTTGAGGAACTTTTAAATGTCGACGGAGAAAGGGAGGCGGTAATTTCATGCACTGGCCAGGGAGGTATACCATCTTTTAGCAGTGAAGAAGAGCAGGATGTGAGTGTGGGGAAGGTGCGTTAGCCATTACATATAATGAAAGGGGGAAAAGCAGCTGGAACTGACGGGATCATGAAGAAATGTTAAAAGCAGCAGGGGACATAGTGCTGAAGTGGTTGGTATTTTTGTTCAATAAATGTATGAAAGAGGGGAAGGTACCTAGGGATTGGCGGAGAGCGTGTATAGTCCCTTTATATAAAGGGAAGGGGACAAGAGAGATTGTAAAAATTATAGAGTAATAAGTTTACTCAGTATACCAGGAAAAGTGTACGATAGGGTTATTATTGAAAGAATTAGAGGTAAGACAGAATGTAGAATTGCGGATGAGCAAGGAGGTTTTAGAGTGGGTAGGGGATGTGTAGACCAAGTGTTTACATTGAAGCATGTATGTGAGCAGTATTTAGATAAAGGTAGGGATGTTTTTATTGCATTTATGGATTTAGAAAAGGCATATGATAGAGTGGATAGGGAAGCAATGTGGCAGATGTTGCACATATATGGAATAGGTGGTAAGTTACTAAATGCTGCAAAGAGTTTTTATGAGGATAGTGAGGCTCAGGTTAGGGTGTGTAGAAGAGAGGGAGACTACTTCCCGGTAAAAGTAGGTCTTAGACAGGGATGTGTAATGTCACCATGGTTGTTTAATATATTTATAGATGGGGTTGTAAGAGAAGTAAATGCTAGGGTGTTCAGGAGAGGGGTGGGATTAAATTATGAGGAATTAAATACAAAATGGGAAGTGACACAGTTACTTTTTGCTGATGATACTGTGCTTATGGGAGATTCAAAAGAAAAATTGCAAAGGTTAATGGATGAATTTGGGAGTGTGTATAAAGGTAGAAAGTTGAAAGTGAACATAGAAAAGAGTAAGGTGATGAGAGTATCAAATGATTTAGATAGAGAAAAATTGGATATCAAATTGGGGAGGAGGAGCATGGAAGAAGTGAATGTTTTCAGATATTTGGGAGTTGACATGTCAGCGGATGGATTTATGAAGGATGAGGTTAATCATAGAATTGATGAGGGAAAAAAGGTGAGTGGTGCATTGAGGAATATGTGGAGGTAAAAAAATGTTATCTATGGAGGCAAAGAAGGGAATGTATGAAAGTATAGTAGTACCAACACTCTTATATGGCTGTGAAGTTTGGGTTGTAAATGCTGCAGCGAGGAGGCGGTTGGAGGCAGTGGAGATGTCCTGTCTAAGGGCAATGTGTGGTGTAAATATTATGCAGAAAATTCGGAGTGTGGAAATTAGGAAAAGGTGTGGAGTTAATAAAAGTATCAGTCAGAGGGCTGAAGAGGGTTTGTTGAGGTGGTTTGGCCATTTAGAGAGAATGGATCAAAGTAGAATGACATGGAGAGCGTATAAATCTGTAGGGGAAGGAAGGTAGGGTAGGGGTCGTCCTCGAAAAGGTTGGAGGGAGGGGGTAAAGGAGGTGTTGTGGGTGAGGGGTTTGGACTTCCAGCAAGCATGCGTGAGCATGTTAGATAGGAGTGAATGGAGACAAATGGTATTTGGGACCTGCCGAGCTGTTGGAGTGTGAGCAGGGTAATATTTAGTGACGGGATTCAGGGAAACTGGTTATTTTATATAACCGGACTTGAGTCCTGGAAATGGGAAGTACAGAGCCTGCACTCTAAAGGAGGGGTTTGGGATATTGGCAGTTTGGAGGGATATATTGTGTATTTTTTATACGTATATACAGTGGACCCCCACCTTACGATCAGCTCCCAACGCGACCAATTATGTTAGTGTATTTTTGTAAGTGCTTTTGTACGTGTATTTTTGGGTGTCTGAAACGGACTAATCTAATTCACAATATTCCTTATGGGAACAAAATCGGTCTATAACGGCACCCGAACAGACCTCTGGAATGAAATAATATCGTAAGGTGGGGGTCCACTGTACTTCTAAACTGTTGTATTCTGGGCACCTCTGCAAAAACAGTGATTATGTGTGAGGTGAGAGTGTTGAAAGATGATGAAAGTATTTTCTTTTTGGGGATTTTCTTCCTGTTTGGGTTATCCTGCCTCAGTGGGAGACGGCCGACTTGTTGAAAAAAAAAAAAAAAATTCTAGCGATTTCAAATCAAGCGAGAGAAAGCTGGTAGGCCCACATGTGAGAGAGGGTCTGTGTGATCAGTGTGCACTACATAAAAAAATCCTGCAGCATGCAGTGCGTAATGAGAGAAAAAAAACTCTGACCGTTTTTTTGGATTAAAATGCCGACTTTGAGTTGTATTTTTGTATAGTATTTATCATTGTATTCTCGTTTTCATGGTCTCAGATGATAAAATGGAAAACATATTACAGAAATAGAGATGATTTTGATTATTTTCACGATGAAAACGACCTTGAAATTGAGCTCAAAGTAGCGGAAATGTTCGATTTTTACCAATGTTCAGGAGTAAGCAAATCACACCACACGTCCAATACACTTCAACTGGGGAGTCTAATATTCTTTCACTAGTGCACTGATATTATTTATACCATTTTTACAATACTGCAGTAGTCTGCATAACAGTAAATTTTGTATTTTTTTGTATGAATAAAAAATCAAAATAGAAAGCAATAGTAATATAAAAGGGGCCCTAGAGATGTGACTAATGAATGGAGGATATGTTATTTTAGTGCAAAGAATGTCTACATTGTTTATTTTGGACCCTATTTTGAAATTGGCATCTCTTTTAATTTGCATGAAATTGGCCAAATTGCCAATTTCTGACCACTTTATTGGGTAGTTCAAATCGGTAAATGGGCAGTTTCTTGTACTCAACAGATAGAAAAAAATGGAGTTCTAAAGAAATAGCTATGAGTTTGGTCAACTGGAACAATGAAATTGGCCATAAACAGGGCACAAAGTCGGCGAAATCGCCGATGCGTATATGTCGCTGAGACCGCTAACTTCGTGGGAGTGGAATTCCGTGAGTTTTTTGACCAAATTTCGTACTTTTGGTGTCATTACCACCGGGAAAAGATTCTCTATCATTTCATAAGAAAAAATAATTTAGATTTTTTCCAAAAATTTATCGACATAGAATGATAGTTTCAGAAAGGGGCCTGCGACAGTCAAAGGGTTAAAGTGATTGGCCATGGTCAATCTCCCAAGCACAAATACCATATGTGAGGTAAGCCCATTTACCGATTTCAACTACCCAATAAAGTGGTCAGAAATTTGCAATTTGGCCAATTTCACGAAAATTAAAAAATATGACAATTTCAAAATAAGGTCCAGAATGAACAATGCAGACATTCCTGGCTCTAAAATAACATTTTCTTTGTTCATCAGTCATGTCTCCAGGCCCCTCTGATATTACTCTTGCTTTCTATTTTGAATTTTTATTCAAACAAAAAATAGAAGATTTACTATTATGCAGACTACTGCAATACTGTAATAATTGTATAAATAACATCAACCCATTCATGACTGCATATTAGAATGGCTAGTTGGACATTTATTGGACAATAACATCATTTGTTTACTTTTGAACATCGGCAAAAATCAAACATTTCCCCTACTTTGAGCTCCATTTCCAGGTTCTTTTATAGTAAAATCAATCAAAATCACCTCTATTTCTATAATATGTTTTCTATTCTATCAAATGAGACCAAGAAAACGAGAATACAACCATAAATACTATACGAAAATTGATCACAAATTCGGCATTTTAATTAAAAAAAACGGTCAGTTTTTTTTTTCTCATTATGCACTGTGTGCTCCAGGATTTTTTTTTATATGGTGCACACTGACCACACACATCCATTCTCTCACATGTGGGCCTACCAGCTTTCTCCTGCTTGATTTGAAGCCGCTAGAATTTATGAGTACAGTGGACCCCCGCATAACGATATTAATCCGTGCATGAGAGCTCATTGTTATGCGAAATTATCGTTATGTGGATGAATTTTCCCCATAAGAAATAATGGAAATCAAATTAATCCGTGCAAGACACCCCAAAGTATGAAAAAAAAAAAATTTTACCACATGAAATATTAATTTTAATACACACAAACTGAAAAAGGCATGCACAATTACATGACACTTACCTTTATTGAAGATCTGGTGATGATTGATGGGATGGGAGGAGGAGAGAGTCTTAATGTTTAGAAAGGGAATCCCCTTCCATTAAGACTTGGTGTCAAGTCCTTTTCTGGGGTTACTTCCCTTCTTCTTTTAATGCCACTAGGACCAGCTTCAGAGTCACTGGACTTCTGTCGCACAACATATCTGTCCATAGTGGCCTGTACCTCTCGTTCCTTTATGACTTCCCTAAAGTGTTTCACAACATTGTCAGTGTAATAGTCACCAGCACGGCTTGCAATAGCTGTGTGAGGGTGATTTTCATCCATAAAGGTTTGCACTTTCAGCCACATTGCACAGATTTCCTTAATCTTTGTAGTAGGCAACTTCTTCAATTTCTCTCTCCCCTCCTCCAAACCAGTTTCCTCAGGTCTGGCCTCTTGCTGCTGAAGTTGATCTATCAGCTCATCAGTGGTTAGTTCTTCATTGTCCTCCTCCACCAACTCTTCCACATCATCCCCACTAACCTCCAACCCCAAGGACTTTCCCAATGCCACAACTGATTCCTCAACTGGCATACTCCTCTCAGGGTTAGCCTCAAATCCTTCAAAATCCCATTTGTCTACACATTCTGGCCACAGTTTCTTCCAAGCAGAGTTCAAGGTCCTCTTAGTCACTCCCTCCCAAGCCTTACCTATAAGGTTTACACAATTGAGGATATTAAAGTGATCTCTCCAAAACTCTCTTAGAGTCAGTTGAGTTTCTGAGGTCACTACAAAGCACCTTTCAAACAGAGCTTTTGTGTACAGTTTTTTGAAGTTTGCAATAACCTGCTGGTCCATGGGCTGCAGGAGAGGAGTGGTATTAGGAGGCAAAAACTTCACCTTAATGAACTTCATGTCTCCATAAAGTCGCTCTGCCACGTCTGTAGGATGACCAGGGGCATTGTCTAACACCAGGAGGCACTTAAGGTCTAATTTCTTTTCAGTTAGGTAATTTTTCACATTGGGGGCAAATGCATGGTGTAACCAGTCATAGAAAAAGTCCCTAGTAACCCATGCCTTACTGTTTGCCCTCCACAGCACACACAAATTAGCCTTGAGGATATTCTTTTGTCTGAACGCTCTGGGAGTTTCTGAGTGATACACTAATAAAAGCTTCACTTTGCAATCACCAGTAGCATTGGAACACATCAACAGAGTAAGCCTGTCTTTCATAGGCTTATGTCCTGGGAGTGCCTTTTCCTCCTGAGTAATGTAGGTCCTGCTTGGTATTTTCTTCCAAAACAGGCCTGTTTCATCACAATTAAACACTTGTTCAGGTTTCAGTCCTTCACTTTCTATGTACTCCTTGAATTCCTGCACATATTTTTCAGCTGCTTTGTGGTCCGAACTGGCAGCCTCACCATGCCTTATCACACTATGTATGCCACTACGCTTCTTAAATCTCTCAAACCAACCTTTGCTGGCCTTAAATTCACTCACATCATCACTAGTTGCAGGCATTTTTTTAATTAAATCCTGATGCAACTTCCTAGCCTTTTCACTTATGATCACTTGAGAGATGCTATCTCCTGCTATCTGTTTTTCATTTATCCACACCAATAAGAGTCTCTCAAACATCTTCCATCACTTGCGATCTCTGTTTCGAAAACACAGTTGAACCTTTGGTAAGAACAGCTTCCTTGATTGCCTTTTTGTTGCCCACAATAGTAGCGATGGTTGACTGGGGTTTATTATACAACCTGGCCAGCTCGGAGACACGCACTCCACTTTCATACTTATCAATGATCTCTTTCTTCATCTCTATAGTAATTCTCACCCTTATTCCTGTAGGGTTGGCACTAGAAGCTTTCTTGGGGCCCATGGTCACTTATTTTGCAGATAAAATCACCAAAAACACTGTAATAATACGAAATATTCCGATTGTATGCTTGGATGTTACCGCGGAGGCTGGCTGGTAAACAATGCCACCGGCGGAACATGTGAGGCTGGCTAAGGCCGCACATTAGACGCGTCTCGGACGAACAGCGTTGAGCGGGTTTTTTAGCGGTATGCGAGGCAAAATCTTAGTGATAAAACGTATCGGTATGCGGATTTAACGTTATGTAAGGCCAACGGTATGCGGGGGTCCACTGTATATATACGTCAAACACTGTACCTCGTAAGACATATATATACGGCCGCGACAGTCAAAGGGTTAATGCCATGGCTCATGAATAATCATGTTAACCTTTTGCAGATCTCCAGACACTAGTCCATACTAGCCTCTGCTATATTTATCTTAAGACTGTAATATTTATAATTACATCAGTCATTTCTCACCAAGGAAGGGTGACCCAAAGTAGGAAATACATTCACTATCACTAATTTAAAAGCTGTCTTGCCAAATACATACTTTAGTATTATTTCAAGATTATGATTAAAATAACCATACCAAAAAAAATTAGAAATACAGGTACCATCCAACTTACGACCAAGCTTGGTTCCGACCAACAGGTCGTAAGTTAAAATGGACGTAAGTTGAACCTTACTACTGAATATCAACATCACACTTTTGTAATGCTTTTATTTTGTTGTTTTATCTTGGTATTTCATTTTTTACTTCACTTTTATGCTGTTAGTACTGTATTTTATGCTGTAAGGTTCAGGATAAACACTATGTACAACACAAACAGTTGTTTATTTCCCAGAAATTTGGCATCAAAAACATGGTCGTAAGTCGAGTGGTCATATGTCGAGCAGGTCATAAGTCGGATGGTAGGTGTATATTAAAAGGTTATAATTATATTCATGAGAAAGCACTAAACCTATAAAAGATCATACAGCTAAAATATAAAAAAAAAATTTACCTAACGATGCTGTGTCACTGCAAAATGTGGTCAAATATAGTCATCCTGGGTATGGATGCAAGATTAAAAGTCTAAATTTAAGCACTTAAGGTGTAGCTATTTATATCATGTAAACACTGTTTACAAATCTCTGTTGACCTACCTGAGTTGCACTGATTTTCCAATTGTTACATCCACATTTTCTGTAAAAGTATTGATGATGTGAACTAGTTGGCTTGTGACATTGTTCTTCTTATCTCCTGCTGCTACAACTGAATCATTCACCTCCATCATATTACTGAGTGCTGACATCATACTGCTGGCTACCTATTAATGATAATAAAACTGAAAGTAAAGGGAGTACAGTACTTAATTTACTTAAGTATTTCATTAACGATGTTTCTGACTAAACAGGAAACTAGTTAGCCGGACTTGATTCCCAAAGGTGGGAGCACGGTGCCTGCACTCTGAAAGAGGGGTGGGGAAGTTGCTGGTCATTTGCATTGTGGCAAAATAATGCAAGATAGCTACTGAATGAATGATGGTGAATGTGGTTTTTTTTGGGGGGAGGGGGTCACCCTACCTTGGTGGGAGATGGTAGGTGTGCTAGAAAAATTAAATTACATACTGTACTAAAATGTCTTTGCAAAATAGTATAGCTACAAGTAATGTTTGTGTTAACAAGAAGTTTCTAAAACAAATTAAATATGTATAACGTAAAATATTGGCAGATTTGTAATATGCTGGTGGACAGCAGCTACCCAGGAATGTACTGAAGTCCAGTCATAAGAGTGTGAAATGGCAGCTTGTTACACATTTTGCACTGGCAGAATTACTGCTTTTTTAAGATGAGTCTAACGAAAGCATATGAAGACAGTAAGAGTAAATGAGAAAATTAAAATTTTTAATAGCTCTTTACTTTTACTTGATAATCAACACAATACTGTCCTGCAAAATCTTCTACACTACATATTACTATTAATAATACAAAAAAATATTAGGGCTGTCATCATCACTATAAAATTACTTACTACAAGAGGGGTTTAGATAGGACACCCTAATTTTTTATAATAAAAGTCTATAGTATGGCATATTCTGTTGGGAACAGGAAGCAGATGCTTATCAAAGAGCACTGACCGACTGAGCAATGTACACAATCCTCCAGTGTGTCATACCAAAGACTGCAGGTGAATTCTATACCATTTTAGAACTATTTTTTCAAATCATGACACTGATGGGACTTTTAATTTTGGAGGCTGCCACAGTGAAAGGGTTAGGAAAACTAAATGTGTATTTAGATAGGAAGAAATGTACAGGACTGACTTAATCATTGCCCCCTAATAAGGGGGCCTTACAATAATACTGGCAGTGTATGGAAACTTACTGCTGGATCATGAAGTGCATGTTCCACAAGCTTGGCCAGTTGATTGGCAGCATGAGCAAACATCTCTGGGTTAACAGAAGCGGGGGAGGCAGTAAATGAGGCCAAATCTTTAGCAGCATCCTCAGCTGCCTGCATTGCCTTTCCTCGACACATCCAAACATCTGGTTCTTTCCAAACAACAGTGCCATTGGACAGCTGTACACAGAAACGAACAGCACCCAATGAAGGAAGCAGCATTGCTGAAGAAGAAGGTGTAGTTGTAGACTGATGATTGTTGCTATCATTTTCATTTTCTTCCTTGGCATTTTTTAAAGATTCATGTCTGCCATTTAATGTACTAGTTGTTGTTCCTATTTCAATCTCTTTACTCATTTGCATTTGCTCATTCAGTCTCTTCCTAGACTCTAATACTACATCAGTGGACTTTCTGACAGTCCTTGATGGCATTTCAAGTAAGGTTTCATCAATATTTACTTGAGGAAAATTATGGTCACCAGCTAAATGCTCATAGAAATTTCTTCTAGTGTTTTCCAAGTATTTATTTTCATCTTTGGTAAATTCAGAGTAACTAGCTTGGACTGCCAAATCTTCTGCATTCCTTGCTACTTTTTGCTGCTCAAACTTATTTGAATCTGTTATGTCTGCCTGATCCCATCTTTGTTGTTGGTCATATTGTTTTTTCTCTGCTCTGTATAAAGTATCTGATACAATAATGCTTTGATTATCAGGCTTCTTCCCTTCTTTTTCAACCTCAGCTTTTAAACTCTGCTGCCCACCAACAACTCTTTCTCCAATGTGAGGTTCTGCAATTGGGTTGCTCCTAGTATTAAGTTGTGCTATATGTTTATCTATATTTACTTGTTGTTCCAAAGGTTGTTCTTCAGTGACTGGTTGCTTTGGAATTCTAAATCTTCTTGTGTTAAATCTTCCTCTATATCGAAATTGTTTTCTTCCTGGCCTTTCTTCAGCATATACCTGGGACTCCTGCTCTCTTTCTGTCTGATTGCCTATGCCTCTTCTCATCTGTTTAGCCTTCCTAGGTTGCCCTCCTTGCTGTAATCGTCTCAGATGTCTTGGGTGTGATCCTCGCAGGTTTGCTGCTATTACTTGTCGACGTACTGCTTCGCTATTTACCTTAATTGAAAAAAAGACTGAATTTGATATTTCTATTCCATGACACAATTTTTTTTATTTTAATAATAATACAAATAGCAACAGCATTTCTCAATATATTATAATATTGTAAGCATTTACAAAGTGGCATTATTTACCTCTGAGACAGACGTGATAGGGATGGTTGTCTGAGTACTTTCAGTTAATTCTATGCTGCGAGTTTGTCTATTAATATAAAAGCTACCACCATCCCACTCAGCCTGAGTTGTAATCCCAAGTAATGGGGAAAGTACAGTAGGATGCACTGATGATCCATCATCATATTCAAGAAACTTCTTTTCGTCAATAGTACTAGTTGGAAAATCATCACTAATGATATTTGTTGCTGCAGTCCCCACAAGCTGTCCCATCTTTCCTGCACTAACATTGTCAGTGGCAGAGGCTCGAACTCCAAAGGGACAGGGCAAGGTGACTGATAGTCCATGTTGGGTTGCAGGCCAGTGGAACTCTCCAGTATCGAGTTGGGTGGTGTGAGCAGGGCATGATTCTGTCCAAGAAGATAAGAAAAAGAGATTTAGGCAGGAATGGAAGAACCAAGTGCTGGAAGTATCAGTGCTGTTGACAAAGCTAGCAGTAACTAAGAGAAGCAAAAATGATAGGATTTTACAGCAAAGCATCTAATAATGAAAAAAATACAAGTATTAGTAAGGAAAAATTCCATATCAAAATATGTCATCAAAAAAATACTTTTTTGTAGCAGTATGAGAGCAATAAAAGTGTTATGAATATTAATGAATAGCCTGTAATTCAAAATTACTTGGTACTTCTCCATGCATCACACAAAAAATATAAGAAAAATTATCACTAAGATATATAGTACGTATTCATTTTTTAATATTCACACCCCACAAGACGAGGTTTCTTGACGCTAGTGAAGGTTTGGTTCTTGATCCAAGGAACTGGACCCATCCCCCCCTTCCTTGGGTTAAACATGAATGCCTCCCATTCCCTAGGCACTGTAGGACCTCAACTGTTGGTTTAGAGCTTTCCCTAAATAACAATAATAATAATAAATTAATTCAGTGAATGATGGTGAAGGTTTTCTTCTGTGGGTCACCCTCACCTTGGCAGAAGATGCCTGCTGAGTTATAAAAAAAATAATTATTACATTGGTACACATAAATTAAGTCTTGATTCATGCAACTAATTACTAAATTTTCACTGAAGGTGAACAGGGGCAGCAAGTGTAAAAAGACTCCCATATGTCAACAATATCACCAATATTACATATACATGTTGATAAATTAGACACATATGCAACATTTGGGTATCTTTAATGAGGACATGTTTCGCCACACAGTGGCTTCATCAGTCCATACATATATACAGAGGACAATAGTGAAGAAAAGTTGAAGTTTGAGGTAATCAGTCCCTCAGCCTTGAGTCGATGTGATCAGTCCATCAATCTTGAAAGCAATATAGCATATGTGCGAAGAAGTGACTTATATACCTCTCCTGCCTACAGTATACATTATAGGCCACTTCTTTGTATTATGCTGTATTCTTTTCAACAGTGATGGACTGATCACATCGACTCAAGGCTGACAGACTGATTACCTCAAACTTCTCCTGTTCTTTACCATTCCCCTTTGTATGGACTGATGAAGCCACTGTATGGCTAAACGTTTCCCGATTAAAGATACCCAAATGTTGCACATGTGTCTAATTTATCAACTTATCGGTTCTCTGAACCATTCATCTACAATATGTATACATACATACTACTGTATAATATTATACTTTTAGATCAAATTAGCAGTACTAAAAAAAATCAAGTAACATTAACTTCATTCCCATATACGTACAGAATATTTAGGAAGTTAACACAAATTTCAAGAAAATATAAATACTTCATACAACATGCACGCATGTATGTGTGTGTGTGCATGTGTTTTGTGTGTGTATGTACTCACCTAGTTGTACTCACCTAGTTGTGGTTGCAGGGGTCAAGTCACAGCTGCTGGCCCTGCCTCTTCACTGGACACTACTAGGTCACTCTTCCTGCTCCATGAGCTTTATCATACCTCTTCTTAAAGCTATGTATGGATCCTGCCTCCACTACATCCCTTTCCACACTATTCCACTTCCTGACAACTCTGTGACTGAAGAAATACTTCCTAACATCCCCGTGATTCATCTGAGTCTTCAACTTCCAATTGTAACCCTTTGTTGCTGTGTACCATCTCTGGAACATCCTGTCTCTGTCTACCTTATCAATTCCTATCAGTATTTTATATGTCATTATAATATCCCCTCTATCTCTCCTGTCTGCCAGTGTCGTCAGGTCGATTTCTCTTAACCTCTTCTCGTAGGACACGACCCTAAGCTCCGGGATTAGTGTGTGTGTGTGTGTGTGTGTGTGTGTGTTAGTTACCATTTTGTCCTAGACACTATGCCTGTTGTGTGTGTAGCTGTGTGTGTGTGTGTGTGTGTATGTGTGTGTGTGTATGTGTGTGTACTCACCTAATTGTACTCACCTAATTGTGGTTGCAGGGGTCGAGACTCAGCTCCTGCCTCTTCACTGATCGCTACTGGATCCTCTCTCTCTCTGCTTCCTGAGCTTTGTCATACCTCTTCTTAAAACTATGTATGGTTCCTGCCTCCACTACTTCACTTGCTAGGCTATTCCACTGCCTGACAACTCTATGACTGAAGAAATACTTCCTAACGTCCCTGTGACTCGTCTGAGTCTTCAGCTTCCAGTTGTGACCCTTGTCCCTGTTTTCCCTCTCGGGAACATCCTACTCTGTCCACCTTGTCAAATTCCCTGCAGTACTTGTATGTCGTTATCATGTCTCCCCTGACCCTTCTGTCCTCCAGTGTCGTCAGTCCGTTTTCCCCTTAACCTTTCCTCGTACGACATTCCCTTGAGCTCTGGGACTAGCCTTGTTGCAAACCTTTGTACTTTCTCTAACTTCTTGACGTGCTTGACCAGGTGGGGGTTTCCCCAGACTGGTGCTCCCATACCCCCAGAAAGGGGCCAACATACCCATGTCCCAATGTCTTGAACGATTCCTTATTAATGTACCCGGAACACTTTTTTGGGTTTTCCCCGGGGCCCCGGGAGGCTGCAGCGGTTTTTTTGGTTTTGGTGGGGCCCCCGGGTGATGTGCTCGGGGGTTTATGGCCCCCCAAGGGTCTTTTCTCCCTGGGGTGAGGTCTGTAGTTTTTTGTCCCCCTACCCCTAAAAAAAAAAACTCTTTTCTGCGGCCTTCTTGCCCCCCCCAATCTTCATGACTTTGCTTTTTGGCTGGATTGAATTCGAAAGCCAGTTACGGACCACAGGGCCCAGCCCCCCCAAAGGTTTCTCTTTGCATCCTGCCTCACCTCGTCCGTTTTAATTTTTTTCCCCAAATCAACTTCACGTCATCTGCGAACAGGGACACTTCGAGTCTATTCCTTCCATCATGTCTTTCCCCAAATACCCAAAAAAAACACGGGTTCCAAAACGACCCCTGTGGGACCCCCGCTCGTAACAGGCGCCCACGTGATACCTTTTCACGTACCATAACCCCCGTTCCCGGGCCCCCCCTGTCAGGTTTCCCTTATCCATGCGGGTGCCCTTCCTTTTTAACGTTTTCCTGACCCTCCAGCTTCTGCACTAATCTCTTGGGGGGAACTGGTAAAAAGGTTTCCCTGCAGCCCTAGGAAAACGCAATCTTTCCAACCCTCCTCCCCGTGCTTATTTCTGTTCCCTTGTCAAAAAACTCCAGGAGTTTGTGATAAAAATTTTGGGCCTTCCATAAACCCATGCGGTTTTCATTTATAATTTTTTCCTTTCCAGGTGTTCGAACCACTCCCCCTCCTGTTAATCTTCTCCATAAATTTGCACACAAAAAAATGTCAAGACACAGCCCTGTAGTTTAGTGTTCGTTTCTGTTTCCTTTTTAAAAATATGGGGACTACATTAGCGTCTTCCATTTCTCAGGTAGTTCCCCCGGGTTTCAAGGGATTTTTGAAGTTGGGGTTTAGAGGCACACACAGCATCTCTGCTCCTTCACTAAGGCCCCCAATGGGGAGATGTTGCCCGGGGCCCCCATCCCCTTTTTAAAGGGGGCAAGGTCACTTAAAGTTTTCTTTAAACCTCCTCCTCAGTTTTTCGTATTCATCCAACACTTTTTGGTATTTTCCCCTCTTGATTTTTCCCCTCTTCCCCTTTTTCCCCACAGCCCTTCCTTCTCTACTGAAAAAATTTCCCTTAAATTTCCCTTTTTTCAGCTCCCCATACCTCCCGACCCTTTTCTTGGGAGTTCTCCCCCTTTCTGTCCTTAATCTGATCCCCTTTGGTTTTTGGCCTGTTGCCCTTCCCTCCTGATTTTCTATAAAATTTTTTCCGGTCATCTTGATTCTCGTTTGCTAGTCATTTTCTACTGTCGCGGGGCCCCTTTCCCCCCCTCTACCTGTGCGAAACCATTCCGGGCTCGGGCGACTGATCTCCCTTTTTTCCCGGTGTTTTCTCTCCCTTTTGTACTTTTTCCCCTTTCCCCAAATTGCACTTTTTTTTTTCCCTCCAAAAAACCCCGTCGGAAAACCGGGCTTTTCTGGTCTTCCGTTGTTACTGTTCCCCCTTTGGGAATAAACCCTTTTCCACTGCCTCCTTGCTTTTTAAAACCTTTATTTTAAACCCTGGAGAGGGGTTCCGGGGTCAACGCCCCCGGGGCCCGGGCCCTGTGACCAGGCCCCTGGGGATCAGAGCCTGATAAAACCGGGCGTTGCTGCGGGGCGCACGAAAACCAACGTAAGCCACACCCCCGGCTGATCCGGAACTGATTTTAGGTGCTTGCCATCCAGTTTGAAGCTGCCAGGGGGCCCCTTTTGGGGTAATCCCCCTTGTGTGTGGCGGGGGGCATTTGAACATCTGGGGCCCCCCTGACACTTTTTGGGTTATGGTCCCTTAACGTCCCTAGTGCCCCCCTTTGTTTTTCTTTGGGGGGGGATGGGAAACGTCTGCCAAGTTTTTTTCCCTTTCATATGAGTGTTTTTCGTGTGAAATTTTCGGTACTAGTCCCTCTGGGTTTTTTCCGGTTTGGTATATAACCCATTTACTTCCCCCTGCTTTCCAGGGAATACGGTTTGGGAACCTCAAGCCTCCCAAAAATTTGGGAGGTTTTTTTATCTCCGTTATCGCGCCGTGAAAGTTCTCTTTAAATTTTCTTGGTTTGGGCAATTTCATTTTGCCTTGAAAGGTCTTTTTAGTGTGCACCCAATTTTCCAGCCTAGATAGAACAATGACCTAAGAGGGGCATAAAGGGGCTTGGCCTCCCAATTTTTAAAGGTCTCATTATCCCCTTTTTTGTCTTTTTCTGCAGATGCGTTTGGGATAAAAAGTTAGGGTCCTTAAGGGTGAGATCCTCCGACAGGGATCACCCCCCGGGGTTTTTGGGACGTTGGTTTTTTCGCTTTATTTTTGGGGGGCCAAAGAATTTTTTTGTCCCTCTGATGAAGAAAAAATTTTCCTCATTTTTTACCATTCTGAGTAATTGAAAT